TTTTTATAATCACTTTTCATTAACATTACGAATTATTTTTTTAAAATTGTAATCTACACCACTCAAAAATAATTTTTCGCAACCCAATGACGTCATGATGTAATTATTTTTTTTTGGCACTTAACATAATTATATTGAGAAAGCTTTAATATGTCAAAGTCTTGATGGCTTTTTTTTTTTTTCAGCTAAAGCATAAGTATCATCTTATTGGAGACAATTTCATTCGAGACCTGTTTGACACTAAATGTGAACACTTCTTTCAGTGAGAGGGATAATGGTGAGGTTCCTAGAGGATCCATTGAAGGAATGGTTGTGGACTAGAAAGCTTGCAGCCCAATTAGTTGAAAAGGGCTTAATCTTTTTTGGTATACAAGGGCATAGCTTTTGATCGTACCAAAAAACCCTCTTCTATTGTCACTTGTCAGATTGCCCACCATCCCATCACAGTTCTGGCGTCCTGTATCTTTCTGGCGAATGATGGCGTCCTCGGCCGGGGGAAGGAGCGGCAGAGAAGGAACGGCCAAAGCCGTGGTGGCCGATCAGATTTCTCAGGCTGTGCAGTCTACCTCTAACCTCCTCCATCTCATGCAACAGTCTTCTCCTGCCCAGGTCCTCTCCCTTTTCTCTTTTTTTCCCCCCTCCAGTTGTCCTCTGTTTACGCTTCGAATTTGGTGGATTGAACTTGTAAATAAGCTCGTATGTGCCCATTGTATCTGACAATGAACTTGTATTTCATTTGACATGAAGTTCTGTGTCGAAGAATTTGTTCGGTTCTTCAGAACTATTAGATTCAGGACCAGCACAAATAAAATAATACGTTATTGATATTCTGAGTCTATGTAGCTACTTATAGTCAATATTTAATTGTTTCATGTTAGAAATTTTTCTCGAGGTAGAAATTTGTTTGTGACACTGAACATTCATGACTCGATTAATAGAGATACAAGTGTTGAGAGTTGGGGTACTTGTTTGAATGATGTGAAAGCTGTTTATACCTGGGCATGTTGCCATGTAGGCATACGTTTTCCATTAATCATCTCTTTCAATTGGAATCTTCTCACATGTATATTCTTAAAGAGGAAGAGATGTGCGTTTAAGTGAGAAAAAAATAACATGAAGATAACTATGGGAGAGACTGTTATTAGGGGGAAAATATCATATGAATCTTGGGAGGAACGTGATGTAATATCTATTTGTTTGTCGTGGCCAGCAGTTCATGACATTTTTGGTTAAGGCCCCATTTGGGATTATGTTGGAAATCACTTATAACCACATTTCATATAAATTAAGACAAAACTCCACTCCCATACTTACCTCATATTCTGTAAATCACGATTAAAAGGTTGCTTATAGGCTATTCCAAACGGATCCTAAATCTCCCTATTGCATTGCATACGAGCTACTAGATCATTCTTCCCATGTGACAACATTCAAGATTTTGTGCATTTCTATTACAGGTGTGGCGCCCCCCCCCCCCAAAAAAAAAAAAAAACACAAAAGCAGGTCAGCACAGAGATAACGCTAGCATTATAAACTTCCTTTTTTTTTTTTTCCTCCCAAATTTCTGTTCCTTATTCTTGCTTGACTATCACGTTTCTTTTCTTTCTTGGCCCTGAGCACTATTATAAAAACCCATATTATGTTTTCAGAGGACTTGGCAGTAGAAGAGTCCTTCTCTGGTGTGAGTTTAATTTCATGCTAGCCTAGAAACTGATGATCAGAAGAATATGCTAAATACTCCTGTCATGGAGGTTTACTGTTTGAGAATTGATGCTCCGATTGCTTAGATTCCTGGAAAAAGAAGCTTTTTATTTTACGAACAGTTGCTGAATTTATTACGGGGGGTGATTGAAACGAGGCATCAGATGTCCTCATTTTCGTACTTCCTCCTCCACTTATCTGTTGGCACGTTTCTATCAACTATGGCAGATTCTACCTTCTGATAATCAACAGCCTAAAATTTAGTTTAAAACGACTCAACTTAGTTTGTGTTGTTGAGCTTATGCCTTTTTGCACATTATTGGCACATGTGTGTTTTTGTTCTGTATGACAATGTTACATTATTTGCAGGCCCAACTCGTCAAGCTTCCCAAAAACCTTTTGGCAAAGGCCTCTACAATCAAGAATACAGAGCAAGTATGTTTATCTTCTACTGATGGATAAGCTTGAACAACTCTCGCAGTTTACTGTGATAGCGTCATTGTCTCTAGCCTTTTCTGCTGCAGGTTTTAGGCCACATGCCTGGGGTAATTTCAACTCTTGATGCTCATATGGAAAGTGGACTACGAAGGTCTGAACTTCATTTTTATTGAGATGTTCAGTACCATAACTTTGAACCCAGGATACATATAAAATTCTCATAAGGAAGCATGAAATTAATGTCACCAAGAACTGTGCTCGATTAAACTTTTTCCGAACTCAGAGTGACTGATCAAATCATTTCAACTGCGCAAATCCATCATATAGATTAAACTTTTGCAGTTGGTAGGATATTATAAACGTTGATATATTGCTAATTATGCATATTTGAGCCACAGCGATAGGGCCTAATAATTTGAGTGCCACATGATTTTTGCGCCAAAATTTTATGTTCCCCACATAATCACGTGGTGGACTTGATTAAGTTTAACTTGAGTTGCAACTCTTTACAGTGTTCCGCACTTGAAGACTGTTGTTCAGTTACTTGCAAACATGGAAAGCTGTCAGCTTAGTCCTCTCTCTCAAGCTCATCCTCCCCAGAAGGTATAGTGGCTCTAAGTCTCTGGCTGCATTTGTGCATTCTGATATAAGTGGCATAGTGAGGTACGCTCTGCCATGCTTCCAAGTTTCAGGTTGAAGCATAATAAACATTGATGGGAGAGTCAAAAAGTAAAAACTAGAAGACAATTTCAACTGGGAGCTCTGGGACTATATCGACACTTCCTGTTTCCATTACTTTCCACACACACAAAAAAAAGGAATTGTGAGATTAACTTGATTATTGCCTTTGGTGCTGTACATGACACTTCCTTCAATCTTTTTCTCCTATATTAGGAGCGTGAGCCGGCAAACCAACCTTAAGGTATGGAACAATGGTGAAAGTGCTGCAGGCTTTGTGGCCGTCTTATTGGGAGCCTCACCCTTAATCATCCAAATATTTTTGGAAGATTTGGAAGTTACACTTCGATTATTATGCACTAGCTAATCAGCTATGTTCCATCTTAAGGTCTTCCTGCAACTCACAACTTGGGGAAAAATGTCCTAGTTTCCGAAGTTTATGGTATACTCGTGCTCAACTGAAGAAGCTTTGTTTTTTTTTTGGGCAAAGCTCAACTGAAGAAGCTGCCACTTCCGTTCTGTTGTATCAAAAATAAATAAATAAAGAAGAAGCTGCCAGATGCTATAACCACTGTGTCCCCTAATTACGTGTTGTAGATCATGTCCGGAAAACTTGTGTCATTGTTAGGCTGCTGAGAGATACAAGTGCATGTGTACGTACATACGGACATATATGTGTATTCAGCTTTCATTTATATTATAAATAATTTGATGTCGCAAGCTTCGCTCTCAGTAGTCACTACATTTTGTCCCCTTATTTGTAAACGGCATGACACGTAGAAAGGTTGGGGAATGGCAATCTGCGGTCGATATATTAATTTAATTATAAATGCAATTTGGGGCTCTACATTACTTTTTCTTTCTTTCTTTCTTTCTTTCTTTCTTTTCTTTTTTGGCCTTCTGGGGTCATACATTTCGAAATTTTAATGGATGACCGAATGTACTTGGCAGGGAATGTTAAAGGCTGGGAGATTAGTTGCATATTATCATATAATTATTTTTTTTGGTCGGAATTATCATATAGTAGTTAATAGTAAGTTATAAAAAAAAAAAATGAATGCCGAGTCTTTATCTTACTTTTCTATGTTAAAACTGAAAACATCAGTTATGAGTAACTTGTACAGGTAAATGTTAAGTTTTTCTATTATCAGCTGCGCGCGCTCGCACAAGTCCAAGGCACATTCTATTGGAATATTATGCTTCTACAAATTTGTTTTAGATTGATCAAACATTAAACATTATGATTTGATTTTAATAATTTAAATGCTACTCAATTAGTTATGAGCAAACGCCAATATAAGACGGCATGGGAGCAAAATAATTAAATTAGAATTCAGTCTATAATATTACTTCCGATCTCAATTATAAGATTCGTTTATAGTCTACAAATAAAGTTTTATAATTCAGACTGAAGGTAGTATGTTATTGGCCATGATATTAGACAGCATATGCCGATAACGCTAAATTCATATTTAGGTCTTATGTGTTGCTATATGTCCAGTAGAAGTTCATTGCATCACATCAGAATGTTTCAAGTTAAGCGGTAAAAAAAAAAAAGCAAAGATTTAAATTCTCGCTACAAGAAGAGTTCACATTTAATATTTAATGGTATTTCAGATAGCAATGTAAGATAGCTATAAATAAAGAATCATGATGATGATGTTGAATTAGGCACAAATGCATCCTCCATGGTACAATTGGGCACAATCATTTGGAATCTAAGGACAACCTCATCGCTCTTATTTGTACTTTCACCGAACATGTGGGACAATGAATAATTGAGGGCAAGTTTGTTGGTTTTTGGACTATGCTACGCCAATTGATAGATTTCATACCATTCAATTCAATACCACTTGTTATAAGATCTCGTTTATAGTTTATAAATAAGGTGTTATAATTAGGACCGAGGATACTATGTTATTGGCCATGATATTGGACATCATATGCCGCTAACGCTAAATTCATATTTGGGTCTTATGTGTTGCTATATGTCCAATAGAAGTTTATTGCATCACAACAGAATGTTTCGAGTTAAGGGGTAAAAAAAGCAAAGATTTAAATTCTGACTGCGAGAAGAGTTCACATTTAAATTTATTGGTATTTCAGATAGGACTGAAAGATAGCTATAATAAAGAATCATGATGATGATGTTGAATTAGGCACAAATGCATCCTCCATGGTACAATTGGGCACAATCACTTGGAATCTGAGGACAACCTCATCGCTCTTATTTGTACTTTCACCGAACATGTGGGACAATGAATAATTTAGGGCAAGTTTGTTGGTTTTTGGACTATGCTACGCCAATTGATAGATTTCATACCATTCAATTCAATACCACTTATTTACACTTGAATATTTACTTAACATTATGACAAGACATTACTACATGGAAAAATCATTGTGATTATTTTTGTATCTAAATTTTGGCTCTTTAATAAGGACAAATCATTAATATTCATGTTCATTGAATAGTTAATATTGAATTTATCTTTTAAACCAATTTGTTAAGACATTTACATGCATTTCATAGGGTGCAATGTTAGCTATAAGCTGAAGTTCAGATATAATCAATACTCATTAATGTTATGAATATTAAAAGAAAAAATGTAGTAAGGTATGCCTATGCGGTTCATCTCCATTATATAAACGCATGAGAGTATGAGACCGCTCAAGATGTGCATGTGTTTTTTCTTCATATGACCACTAATATTTACTATGTAAAATTCAAATGTTGAAAATCAAATTTGAAAAATAAGAAAACAGAGTTGAATTCAAATGTTGAAAACCAAGCTTCATCGTTGAACATCGACTTCTCCATACTAACGAAGTCAATATCGTTAAACTCAAATTCAAGTCCTTACGAATCGATAAAGCCCGATATGTTGAATGATATCAAGTATGGAAATGAAAAAAATAATGACAAAACTAAAACTCAGTTAAAAATATAAAAATATATAGTGAGTTAAAAAAAGCTACTCCTCCAGTCCTTAATATAGGAACTAATTATTAAGTTGGTTTTGGTCTTAAATATAAGATTCATTTCTCATATTTATCAATTTTCTCTAAATTAACTCTATAGATACTCTCTCAACCATAATCAAGTAAAAGAGTGAGATGATGTATTAAAAAAGATAATTATGGTATTTTAGGAAAAATGTGTTACTTTTCTTATAATTAACTAACTTACCTAACTTCTTAATCTAATCAAATTAGTTAAATGTGTCTTATATTAAGGACTGGAGGAATATTACTTAGGGAATGGGGAAAATCGCAGTGATTATTTTCTCACTCGAATTCTGGATATATTCAACGAAGACAAGTAATTGATATTCACGCACCATGAACATGAAACATTAAAAACATGTATCATGAAAATAAAACATTAAAAAATGTATGGAGAAAAATCAAAATAAAAGACGAGGTTTCCTAAATGCCTAAATCCTAACAAATACATTTGTTGTCGCCGTGTGGCATGTGAACCCAATATTTTTGAGAAAACAAAAAAAGAAAGAAAATGGAAAAAAAAAAGAAGGGATCAAAGGACGGGGTGATTGGCATTGGTTCATGAATATATTCGGGCGCATCACGTAGGCAGATCCACTGAATAAATGCTAAAAAGGAGTGAGAAAAAGGGACTCAGATTCGCAATCAAGCGCCTCCCCTTTTCCACGCTTCCTTCTTGGACCCAATTTTTTGTATAAATTCCAATGGATTGGAATTGGAGACCTACAAGGTGACTGATTCTCTCTGCCGGCCCACCCAACGGCGCCGTAGCGGCTTTCCTCTTTCCTTCTCGGCGACACGTGAGAGTCCGAATCTCGTGGAAGAACATAGACCTGCCACACATCATCATCATCACACAGAACCAACGAAACTGCCTACTCTCTTCTCTTTCCTTCGCTCCTAAGGGCCAACACTAGCCCTAGCTTCCTTCCCTACCTTGGCTTCTCTTTGCTCCGCGAATCGCATGGCTTCTTCACTCCTTCTGCCTTCTCCTCCTCACTCGTCGTCTTCGTCTTTGGCGTTTTCTTCTTCTGCTTCCTCTCTGTTTAACGCCATCAGTCTTCAAAATTTGGCCTTCAATGAGTCCCGCTCTCCAATCTGTGCGCCAAAGTGTGTGGTAAATTCAATTAACGCCTTCATTTCTTATCGCGTTCTTTTCATACTGTTACATACACGTTTTTTTCGAATTACGGGTGTTGTAATTTTGATCATTTTAATTTCGGTTTCGGGATTGGTCTGAGGGAGAATGATTGGAGTTTAATGGAAACAGGAATATGTTGGCTTTATACAATTCCGGTGAAAATTTGAAAAATTTAAATACTGGGTGGAATTAACTTTTTATTTGAAATTGTCATGTTAACTCTCTTTGCAATGACCCTGCAGTTCTCTTTTTTCTCGCTGAACAGAATGATATTTTCGTATCAATATTTATATTCTGGCCAAAAAAGTATCAATATTTATATCCCCCCGCTCTGCTCTTTTAGTTGATTTTTGTCTTAAATACATAATGGGTCCGAATGCCAATATAAATGTAATTGGTATAATGATCATTGATTTTTTATTTTTTATTAGAGATGTGACCTGCCCGAGCCATCCAATTCTTTGAATGGGAAGGCAATCATCCCCGTTCTGAACGATCGGACGCTGCCCAAGTTCTTGGAATCAGCAAGGATGGAGAAAACTGTGAATAGAAACAGCAACAGGTTGAAATTATTCTCTGGCACAGCCAATCCTGCACTTTCCCAGGTGCTTCTACTAATCCATGTTTACCCCCATTAAGTTGTTGACTTGTTGTGCATGGTTCGATCTTTACTGTCACTCTCGGCTACGAAATAGAAAAGTCCTCTTTTTCCTCTCTACAAATATCTGTTATTGCCATGGGACTCTATTTATTTTTATTGTTACTCTACTTGTGTCTGCAGGGAAAGCTAATTCATTGACCTAGTACTATAACACCTTGTTTATCTTTTTGATAAAACTTTTTAGGTATCTGTGAAACTGTGAAACTGTTAAAACTGTTAAAACTTTTTAGGCTTTTAGCACGACAATGGAATATCACAAACCAATTTTGAAGTAAATCTGCTGCGTGCTACTTCTGAGTTGATTGATAACTTTGTTCTGCTTCAATTAGGAAATTGCCTGGGACATGGGATTGGAACTGGGGAAGATTTCCATTAAGCGATTTGCTGATGGAGAAATCTACGTCCAATTACAAGAGAGTGTTAGAGGATGCGATGTTTATCTTATACAGCCAACATGTCCTCCTGCAAATGAGAATCTCATGGAGCTGAAGATAATGATCGATGCTTGTCGTAGAGCATCTGCCAAAAATATTACTGCTGTGATTCCATATTTTGGATATGCCAGAGCTGATAGAAAGGCAAGTATTTGCATTTGACTGATGTATGTTAATTTTTGGAAGTTAATCTAGGTGGTCCCTGAAGCATGCAAGTAGCTATTCAGTGTCTTTCCTTTTTTAAGTTTTAATTCAATGGAGAAAAGATTTTCCGTCTTTTCTGTCTTATTGAGATACTTCCACTGTTGTAGAAATGAATATGGCTGGTCTATGAAGTAAATGTTGCAATATTTGCTTGGTGACGATGCTGATGGGCTTATAAGTTGTGACAGGGAGTTTGTTAATTTTTCTATTCTCTTTTCAGACACAAGGCCGAGAATCCATTGCAGCCAAACTTGTTGCAAACCTTATTACTAAAGCTGGGGCAGATCGTGTTCTTGCTTGTGACCTTCACTCAGGGCAGTCTATGGGGTACTTTGATATTCCTGTGGATCACGTCCAATGTCAAGTAAGTGAATCAGAATAAGTGTAGTTCATCTCTTCAAAATTACAGACTTACTAATACTTTCCTTTTGGTGTCGACTAGCCTGTGATTCTTGATTATCTAGCCAGCAAGATGATAAGTTCTAATGACTTGGTGGTGGTCTCACCTGATGTTGGTGGTGTTGCAAGGGCACGTGCTTTTGCTAAAAAGTTATCTGATGCACCCTTAGCAATTGTAGACAAAAGGCGTCATGGACACAATATAGCTGAGGTAATGACCTGAAACATCTGTGGGATGTTTTTTATAATAATTTCTAAAAGACATAATTCAAACTTTTGAGTTAGATATGCAGACATACGTGTATTAGCTGTGTTATGTTGGAGAATGATTGCAGCCCATTTTCTATGTTAAAGATATTGTCAATCTTTATACTTGTGTTATATTTCTCGTTCATTTTGCATGTTATTGTTTTTCTTATGCCTTGACATGCAGGTGATGAATCTGATTGGTGATGTAAAAGGAAAAGTTGCCGTTATGGTGGATGACATGATTGATACCGCAGGTGATGAATCTGATTTAGTGCTTTGAATTGACTTTTGAGACTAAGCACTTGATAAGTAAAAATGTGACTACTATGAAAATATAGCGAGTGTAAATTGGCTTTCCTAATTGAGAGGCATTTATGATGTTTCTTTTTACTGCTTAAGGAAGCATGATAGTATTGTGATTTTACTTTGGCATTTATTGACATGTACTTAGTTGTCACTGTGATGAACATCAGGGACCATAGCTAAAGGCGCGGCACTATTACATGAGGAGGGAGCCAGGGAAGTGTATGCATGCTGCACTCATGCTGTTTTCAGGTAACTTTGTGCCCTAATTATTTTCGTGCTGTTCTGCTACTGCATAATATGATGCAAACAAGCAAGCATTTCAAATTTTCACCGCCTAATTCTGAAACGTGTTTAGTGATTCATTCTTGGTGCTGCTAGTTGCGTTCATGTTAAAAGCTTTACGTTTGATTCTGAAGCAGCAGGGTTCATGTTTTGCGTTGTGTAATTTTATTTACAGTCCTCCTGCGGTGGAGAGGTTGTCGGGTGGCTTGTTTCAGGAGGTGATTGTTACAAACACGCTTCCAGTTGCGGACAAGAACTGTTTCCCCCAGTTAACTATTCTTTCGGTAGCAAACCTGTTGGGTGAAACTATATGGCGTATCCATGATGATAGCTCTGTCAGTAGCATTTTTCAGTGACTAGAAAGTACTACTCCGTGGTAGTTGATTTTATTTAATCAATATAACCCGTTTCGTTTCTTATTTAATTTTGAAATGTTTTACTTCACTCCAAGTTGCCCCTATCTTTCTTTCAAGCTATCATAACGATTGCTGAAAGGTCAAAAGTTAGAATCTAAATGTAATATGGTGCCTTGGTTAAGAAACTTATCCGGGCAAGCGAACTGAGATTCTCAGAAATTAAGCCTTTAGCTGCTGGGATGACGCATGTGAATTCAAAATCAAAGTAACAAACAAGATACTCATTAAAAAAAAAAAAAATCAAATGGGTGTAACGGATGCAAGTTCAGGGTATCAATTTCGATGCAGAAATCCAACAATAAACTATATCTCTTGTTTTCTGAAAAATATCCGAGGCGTCGCCTTCTTCTTCTCTATTTTTTTTGTCCTTTTTTTTTTTTTTGCTTTTTCAGGCCAGGGGCTGGCTTTGTCCTTAGATTTATCCAGAAAAAGATAATTACGCTTAAGAGCTTTTTCCAATATAAATTTTAAATTATGAAATTTTAACAGCTATATTTTCACAAATGAAAATTTACGCTATTTTAAAGTCATGAATAATTTGACTCAATTCAAACTTTTTGCTGGAGCCTTAAAGCCAAGTGTGAGGCGGCAAAAAGTTTTAGCAAATGACAAAATCCACATTCTTTTAATTTTTTTGAAAAAAGCAAAGTAATAACAATAGGAACTGTATGATGTGTACGTGGATGGAATTGGAGAAAATGGGTCTAAATCTAGTCTCTTGGAGTCGGTTTGAAAGTTGGAGCCAATTTTCCTTTTCGGCCTCAGGTATGGGTCATAAAGCCCTAATTTATATCTATAAATTGCCGCCGAGTAGCCAACGCCCGGCGAAACGAGAGCTTGCGCTGCTCAAAAGGCGAATGCGCCTAGTTTTCCTCCTGATCTCCTCTGTTGTTTTCTCCCCTTCAATTCTTGGCTCTTGCTTGTTAAGCATGCAGATTTGGTTTATCATGGCTAGGGTTTGTTACGAAGCGAATGAGAAAACACAATTTGAGTCTGTGATGAAGTTGAAACAGTGCCGGAGGCGGGTCTCCTATGAGCTCGTCGCTGATGGCGCAAATATCCTCTAAGAAGTTCTGAGCTCAAGTCTTTTCTCATGCTTACGCTTATGATGTATATTTATCGATCGATCAATATAGGCGGTGCCAGTATGCTTTCTTTTTCTCTTTTCTTTCACTGATCTAATGGTTAAATATGGGGGGCAGTGATTTCGAAGCTCTTGGGGCTTGGATGCGAGAGGAAGATAGAAATTCATTAGACTGTCAATCCACTGACATTTGTGTGATGTGAATATGCAGGTTCTGATCGCTTCCTCTGTCCCACCTTTCGATCCCACCCCCACCCACCAATTGGGTGTTAGATTGGAACGATGATGATTAAATTTTACACCTTTTATTGGTTTCAATTCAACTATACGAATATATGACTTTGTTTTGTTTTTAATTTCAAACGAAAATAAGGAATAAAAATGGACCTTTAAATTTTTGTAGAAGTATTATGAAGATTAAATTAAATTAGTATTCTAACTCTTGTTATAAGAACTAATTTTTTAAGTGTTTTTTTAAATCGTTCAATTTAATTAAAAAGATCTTATAACAAGAGATAGAGTAATAAATATCAATTTTTCATATCTATGCGTAATATGTTTTTCTTAAAATTGCCAATTAATTTTCAACTTTAATTTTACCTCGTAAATCCATTTTATATTTAAGGAACAACAACATTTTAATAAATAAGGAAGATATAGATGATTAGTGGCAGGATCAAGAGGAAGCTCTTTAAATTCACACACACACACAGCGGACCGGATGGAGTATTACTCTTTCTAATTTTCCTTCTAGAAATTCAAGGCCCGTTGCTGTCAGGAATGAACTGTGTAATTTGTTTTTATTTTTAATGCTCTTTTGATTTTTATCCCAAAAAAAGTCAAACCCTTGACTTTATTCGTTGTAGTTCTCTTTTTTAATTCTTTGATTTGAAAAACGTAGTAAGAAAAAAAAAGCAGGTCTCCTTCACCTTCATTGATTTAATTAATGAAAAATGCTAACATTCAATATAATTAAAATAATAAATAACTCTAATAATTTGAACAGCTCCATCGTCTCATGAAATCTTTCGACAAATATTAGGTTGTAAAAAACGAAAAAAGAAGAAGGAGATATAAGATATCGGGCGGTTTCCAACTGAACTAGTTTAATTTTGCTAAAAATTTGATTAGTTAAAATCTGTTTGCATTTATTTCATTAATATGATAAGATGGTAAAAATTAATATAGCTAGGAAAATTAATTCAACTTAAATATAATAAAATTTCTCACATATAGAAGATTAACCATAAAGGAAAGTATTTTACTATTTTCATGATTGTAGAAAAAATGCAAAAAGTTAAAGAAAAATTAGGAATTCAGTATAAAATCAAAAGGACTAAATTTATTATTCTTAGTAGGATTAATATAATGACAATTTATTCGGGTGGAGTTTTCTCATCCATAAGAATATCCAGCAGCATATATAAAAGTAAACACATTTTATTTGTGGCTACACCTTGAAATGACATAAGTGTTCTCCCCATGACCTAGTTATGGCAGATGTGGACCAATAATTACTTACAATACAATACAATTATCAATTATTCTTCTTCACTTTAATAAATGCCTTAGAATTATTGAGATTCGCATCAACCCTTCCATTCGAAAGTGGTAGCTTCTTTTTCCAACAGCTATCACCCAACCTGAAAATCGCCACTGAACAGAAACAATCCTCCAAACAAGATTGTTTGCATTCTTCTTCAGTAAAAGGCCTTTGAAGCACATAATCTGAAAGTGGCCAATCTGTGTTTATCAGAACCTGAAAGTCATGTAGCCTCCTATCTTCTTCACATCCCTGTGTGAAATCTGGCTTGCAACTTCCATACGCATCGTTTGGATCTATCAGGGAATACCCTTGTGGACACTGGCAAATTGGCCTTTGTGCATCATTCAAATCGCATATGCTATTGTATCCACATACTCCGCTTCCTGCACTTGCCAGACTACTTGTACATATATTCTCCGGTTGAGACCAAACAGGAATCCAACTTTGTTTCTGATCTGAAGAATTCTTATTCTTTGGATATTTGTAGAGAGAGAAAACCCCGTCAAAATTAAGAGTTGCTCGGAGATAAAATCCTGTGGATATGTCATTAGAGGGAGTTTTTCCACTAGGTGAGAGGCTGAATCTTTCATTGTCGTCTTTCAAAACGTACAAGTCTCCTGATGGATCAAACACCAGTAAATGACCTGCGCTTGATGAGTTGGACACGACTGTGCCACTTTCAAAGTAGTTCTCATTTGCATACCCAGATGGTAAGTTTACTGAGTAGAACACCAGATTACCATCTTGTTGCAGAAAGATCTGGTACCTTCCCGTGGAGAAATTCGCCTCGAATGTTCGAGAAAAAAGCTTCCCTCCCTTCTCAAGAATCTGGGTTGGCAACAAGGAATCTCTGGGATCCTTAAATGTCTCCCAGACAACCTTAAACTTCGGATCTTGAAGTACCAAGTTTCCAGTATCATTCAAAGCAGCCAGAGCAACACCAGACACATCAATTACTTGTGATTTCCATAGGTCAGTGCCATTAGGAGAAGTAAGAACAAAACCACGATCAGAAGTAAGTTGTACTTTGGAGCCTTTTGGTGCAGGTTTATTGCCATTAGCGTACCAAACTATGGTCTTGTCTGGGATTTTAGCATACCAAATAGAAAGAAGGAAGAGATCATTGTTGTTGATGTCAAGTGGGTGAAAGCCAAAAGAAAAATCTCCAGAAGGTGAAAGCAGCCATGTTGAGTAGCCATTTCCTGCTGACAGAGAATCTCCCACAGCAACAGTGCTTTTGGTTTGGGCTAAGGCATTGAAGGGTAGGAGAATGAATATGAACAGCACAAGGGGAAGAAATCGGAAGGCCATGGTTATATATAATATGAAGTTTGATATGTTTGGCTTTGATCCTTTTTGATGGTTAACAAGGTCGTGGAGTTAGGCTATATATAATAGCGATGGATGTCGGCCGTGAACGTCAAGTGGGCAAGCTGGACAAGTTAGAAAATGGGAGAACGACTTTTTTTTTTTTTTTTGGGTCAAAAATGCGAAAACGACTTGAATGGAGACATTTTAGGGAAACTAATGATAATAATATGGGAAAATTCCAGAAAAGGTCCCTCGAATATATGAAATCCCAGATTGGGTCCTGAAATTTCGAAAATGACAGAAAGGGTTAGTGACCTAATCTGTCATTTGGCAAATTAAGAGGAATTGACAATTTTGCCCTCATTTGTATTCATTCACTACAATGATTTAAGAAATCACTATAAGGGTTTAAGCATTACCTAGATTCATGTAGCGAATAACTACTCGTTTTTTCATATTCAGGTGTCTTGTTATTAACTACAACTAATTTTGTAATCACTAAAACAATGTAAGTATTACCTAGATTCGTGTAGAGAATAACTACTCACTTTTTCATAGTCAGGCACCTTATTATTAACTACAACTAATCTTGTAATTATTAACTACAACTAATCTTGTAATCACTAGAACAGTGTAAGCGTTACCTAAATTTGTGTAGAGAATAACTACTCACTTAGTCAGGGGCAAAATTGTTAATTGGTCTTAATTTCACAAATGACAGATTGGGTCACTGACCCTTTCTGTCATTTTGGAAATTCCAGGACCCAATCTGAAATTTCATATATTCGAGGGACCTTTTCTGGAATTTTTCCTAATAATATTCAAGACGTACAAAAAAAATTAAATTTAAGTTTTTATCTTGGATAAATTAGCGCATGTTACCTATCACAATCGTTCTTTTAAAACCCATTTAGATTAAATCAAACAATTTGTTTAAAAGATTAACCATGATAAAAAAGAAGAAACTTTAAAATTTTAAAATTACTATCATGGTTAAAATGAATAAATTTATATTACGAGCAACATCGATCATTAACTTAGATCTTGGATTTTCAAAGTTCAGAAATACCATTAAATCATTAGTCCACACCAAACTCATATTTTCACACATACGAACTGACAAATCGTTTTAATACAAGTTATGAAATCTATTAGTCAAAAGTCAACACTTTTAAAAAGTGCCACATGTAGAGTCTTAGAGGTTTTTGGCCTTCTAACAGCTTTCTTATATCAGATAGTAGTAATTAAAGGTACTCCTCCGGTCCTAATTATAAGACCCAATTGACTTATTTGAGGAGATTAAGGAAGTAAGTTAAATTGGTTATTTATAATAAATAAGTGTTGTCATTCCTAAAATATCCTTGCTAATTAAGTATATTAGCTAAAACTATCATTATTAGAAGGATTATCTTGGAAAAAATGCATAAATATAAGAGACAAAATGGATTTGGTCTTATAATTAGGACCAAATAAAAAGTCAAATTGGATCTTATAATAAGGACCGGAGGAGTATTATTTTATAACATTAGAGTAGATGAGCTCTATGTGGCAATACATAACAAATTAGCATATAGAACAAAAGCAGGAAGGTTATACTGTAACGTACTATTAAAAAAATCAAAATCAATTAATTAAAATAATATAATAATTATATTATATATAAAAAACAATACCCAACTTTCCACCGAATTCGGCGGAAAAGCTGGGCATAGTCAAGAACAAAGAAACAAGGGGCGCAAGAATTAAATGGAGGAAGAAATAAGAGGGGTGGCATTAAATTGAAGAAGGAAAAAATGGGAGATGGGGTAGTTAGATGGTGAAGGGAAAATAGGATAAAAGAGGGGGAGAGGAGACGGAGGAGGAAGAGAGAGCGAAGGAAGAGAGAAGAGAGTGAGAAGCAGAGGAAAAGAGAGAGAAAGCTAAGTTGCAGAGCACCTGACAAGTTTTGGGGATTATTTAGGTACACAAAACTACTTCTTTTTATCAAATTTCCTTTATGAATATTTTCTATATATTTAGAGCTTTATATTATTAGTATCATTATCATGTTTAGAGAAAATTTTACCGTTTGGGTATGGAGTAAATATGGAGTTTTGACAATGTATGATCGTATAAATTTAAAGATACATTATTAAGGAATTTTTATCGGTTTATTTTTGGTTAATGATTATTTTGAGAATTTTAAATTAAGATTTTAGTTGAAAAATTTGTTATTTAAAGATATAAAATGTTTTTACCGATTAAATTTGAGTTAAATAATTTATTTGAGTTATTTAATATATTATTGAGGTTTTAATCAGTTTAAATATTGAATAAGTTAAAGATATATTTTTGAAAGCTTGAAAAATTGTAAATTGAGAATTTCGTGAAATTAGATAAAGCTACAGTTTGTTTATAATTTAAGAAGAAGTTGTTTGGTTTGAGGAAAAATTTTAAATGAGATTATAATAAATAATTGAGAATTTTAATATAAAATATTTAGATTTTGGGTAATAAAAATATATATACTTTTGTTAAATTTAAATAGCCTTATATGTAAATTATATTTTCCAAAATAATATCTATTATAAATGCCTAGATTTGGGAGAGTAATATACCTATGTAATTTTGGTTTAGAGGGTAGTCTTAGAATTTTAGAGTAGTTTTGAAGTACTTTTAAGTTTTAAATTAATAAATATTTATGTGCAATTTTGTAGACCCTTGAAAATTTTGGAGTAATCTTTGTGTGATTATTTGTAAGTTAAAGAGTACCAGGTAACTTTGAAAATTCTTTCTTGTACATGTGAATTGTGTATGATTGTATTATGAATTTACTATATTTTTATATATTGAAATATAATATTGTGATTTTTTAAATAAATGTTTTGGTATGTTATTTGATTTTGTTAAGAATTATTGCTATTAATTATGATTAATATTTAAATATATTGATGGCTATGGAATTGTCATGAGTTGTTATTAAATGGTATATAGGTTTTATTACTATCTTATTTTTAATATATTTGCGGACGTATTTATGAGGTAATATTATTGGCATCTGACATGCATTGTTGGGCTAAGGATAGAAGGAGATTGCATGGATATAAAATTACCATGTGGTATGCCATCACTCGATGCACAGTGGATGACACTTGTCAGGGCCCTTTCTTCCATGTTTTCTTTTGGCTGAGAATTTATTGGAGCTACAGGACATGTGACACCTCCCTATTCACAAAGGAAGGGAGCCATAGTCCGAGCTTGAGCTCTATATCTTTGGCTGAATATATCTCTAGTATCGATGAGCTTGGAATAATTCAATAAAATGGATTAGTTCCTATCGGACTATGTGTTAGCCTATGGCTCCAGTCAGCGGTATAAGGGTGGACGGTGATATAAGGGAGGCAACATATTGCATTATTTTTGAAAATATTGATAAAAATAAAATTGAGTTGAATGTATCAAATCCGCGATTTTTAATATATTTATATACACACATAAAAATATATTTTTGGTTTATCATATATGATTTGCTTATATAGGTTAGAATTTCAGTAGTTATTGAGACGTTTGATCTCACCCGCTATATTAACAATTTCCAGGCAAAGAATCTAGTAAGAATCAAGGGAAGACACCAATAGAGTGAGCCGTGAAGGCTTTTGTGCTCCTCAAGTACATGCTATGTTATATATACATTTGTCATGATTGTAAAATTTTAATAGCTTTTTGTTGTTATCTCATAAATATTTTGAAATTATGACTTGTTTGAAGTATTAGAAATACATATGAACTTTGAAATGAAATATTTATCGCGTATATGGATATGATTATGTGAGGTGTTACATATACAAGCTATAATAACACACTATACCTCCGGAGTCTTCCCTGATGGGTTACCACCCGAACTATCACCTGAAAATAGTAAAAACCATAAGATGAGACAAATGTCTCAATAACCAATTTTTCAACTCATCATACATACTAACATGTGCTCGTGAGGTGTTAAGTGAGATAATTATTAAATCTCAATATGTATATCAATGGAAATATAAAATATGTATATTCAAATAATCTTAATCATCCAAACCCTGATTATAGGACTAATACACAAGCTACATAAGTCTATTTCTCACTATAGAAAATCAAGTCAGCATATAGGCCTATCTTACTTTTTGGGGCACGAATAAGTAGCCACAAATGTCTATCCCTTATTATAGGCCTATCCCACACTTTGAGGAACGAATAAAAAGCCACAAAGGTTTATCCTTTACTCTAGGGATGAAGGAAGCCAACCAATGTATACCAATAGCGGCCTTACCACGTGGTAGGATAGGACTCAATCCAAAATCCAAATAACAACCAATAATTCACAATAATCTTTTTTCAGTATAATCCACAATATATGAATCATATATCTTTTTTAAACTTCTCAATCACAATTCTAAAAATTTCACAAGACAATTTTCATAGTTCAAAAAATATAACATATCTACTCGAGTTCCAAATAACAAATATTATTCTAAAATAGCAAAACACTCACAAAGAATGTATTAGCACATATAACAAGTGAAAAGTAGTTATTTTTCGTCAAAGCAATAAAAAGAATTACCATAAGGTTAATCCTTTGCTCAACCAATAATTAATCTACACAATTAACATAACCACATATTAATATAAGCAAATTAATTAATTTAATTAAACTTAGCTATATTAGTTAAATTTCTAATTTAATTTAATATTTATTCTAAACTCCCTCAACTCTCATAACCCAAAATTATGTATTTTAGAAATAATTTAAAATTTTGTAACAAGCTAAATTATTTATTTACGACCTTCAAATTATTTACCTTAATAAAAGGGATTTTTCCAAAATTTTCAAATATAAAATTATTATGTTCTAAATTCTAAAAATCTCATTTTAAGTTTAAACCTCAAAATCAAATTATAAAAAATTCAATAATATTTCAAATATTTATAAATAAATAATCTAATCAAAACTTTAATGGTATAACTATCACACATATTTTCAAAAATAATAAAATTTTTAGTTAAAATAATTATTTTAAAACCTCCAGTCACCCAATAAATAAAACTAAGCCTATTAAAATCTTAATAATATGTTAAACATCTCAAATAAATTATTTAACTCAATTTTAATCCGTAAAAATATGATATAAATCATATATAATAGATTTCTCAACTAAAAAAATTAATTTAAGTACTAAAAACTAACAAATGAACAAAACTAAACCATTTAAAATTAACAACTCATTTATCTATAAATTTCTAAAGTTGTCTATTACCAAAATTCAAAACTTATTTCTCATATAAGTCTCAAAAAATTTTTTAATTATTACAGTAATACTGTCAATAAGAAGCTTAAAATATATAGAAAATATTTATGAAGAAAATTTTATAAAAAAAATATTTGTGTATCTAGATGATTTTCAAAACTTGTATTACTCTTCAAAATGCTAAAACTTCTCTCTTTATCTGATTCTTGTTTTCTTTCTTTGTCTCTACACCCGCAAATTCTGCCTCCCCCTCTCTCTTTTATTCTTTATTTTTCCAAGCACCATTCATTTTTTTCTTCCCCGTTTAATTCTTCTTCCTAAAGTCTTTCTTCTTCTTTCAATGCTATCTTCGTTTTCCACCCAACTCTCAACTTTCAACTTTCCACCGAAATTCGGTAAAAAGTTGACTCTATTATTTTTTTAATTTTTTATTACAATATTATTATTTTATTATAATAATAAAATATTATTATTTTATTTATTTATTTTTTTTTTTGAAATTTTTTTACATAAATTCTAAAAATTAATTTAGGATATTACACTATCCGGTGCGTTGCGCAGAATGCATTAATTTCATATGTCCTGTGGGCGTGTGATGAATCTCATCTTATAAATGGGTAATTTGCGTCTGAAATTTTCATTGATGCTTTATCACCTTGGAGAGCTGATGCCCACGTCTTTACCACTTTTATACATTTTTCCTTTTCCTTTTTCTACCATGAATTTTCTTTTTCCTCAGTTCACTTGGGAGGTGAATTTGATTTTCTTCTTTTGTCATAATCAAGCCTCGTCATAGCTTTTTGCTGTGAACTGCATCTCTCGTCCCACGCATGCTTTTGCTTTATCACCTCGGTCTGGGAATTGCTTGTGACAGTTGGATTACATGTGTGTCTAAAATTCAGCATCTAATTTGGATTCTTTAAAATTGTAAGTCGTAATTGAAAATAGTTAAAAAAAAAAAGACAAAAGAAAAAAAAGAAAAGAAAAGAGAAACTCAGCTCAAAAAGAGCGACATGAGCATCAGATGACATTATCAAATGATTTAAAGTATATACAACTGGGGCAAATATTAATCCATAATCATTCTGGATCATACCAGAATCCCATGGCCTATATGCATAATATCTCAGGCATTAATAATGGATGTTTGATCTGAACATCAACTTCTCAGTTTAATAACTGTTGACAAACCTACAGTGCCTCCTGATTTCTCCTTCATCTCCCGTGAGGGCGTTGATATTTCCCATCTTGATCATGGACTTGGCAAACGAAGCAAAGAAAAGCTTTTGGTTTGAAGCATAAGCCCGCACTGGTTCTCTAATCACTCCCTCATGGTCCTGGCTGATCAGAACATTATCAGAACCCAACAATCTGTTTCCTTCGAGGATGTTTACGTAGTAATGATTATCAAACTTGGTTGGGGTTTCATAATCCAGTGGTGCGACCTTGTGATCCCTTCCCGTAACAGGGCATATGGACCGCAGGATTCTTCTGAAGGTTGTAAACCGCCTGTAACGATCATGGCCATAGTAATATTCAGGTTTTGTTTCATAAATCCTCTGTCGGAAGCTTGCGCATCTTGCCCTTCATATGGTATGGCTGCCTGTTAATAAATGGATCGGTTCAATGTAAGATAATGGACTTCATCAAAATCTTGTCTATTTCTTTTTTCTGGGGCAATGAAGTTATATTCATGTGTACGAACATGTGGATACCTGATAGGGCTACCAAGTCATGTACGTCCAGACCCTGCGCTTTGAAACTGTCTATGCGAGTTTCCAGAGAAGAATTTGGAGCGGGGCTACTAAGTATTTTTGTGCTGTTCTGCTACTGCGTAACATGATACGAACAAGCTAGCATTTCAAATTTTCACCACCTAATTCTGAAACGTGTTTAATGATTCATTCTTGTTGCTGCTAGTTGCGTTCATTTTAAAAGCTTGACGTTTGACTCTGAATCAGCAGTGTTCATGTTTTGTGTTGTGTAATTTTATTTACAGCCCTCCTGCTGTGGAGAGGTTGTCGGGTGGCTTGTTTCAGGAGGTGATTGTTACAAACACGCTTCCAGTTGCGGACAAGAACTATTTCCCCCAGTTAACTATTCTTTCGGTCCAAACCTGTTGGGTGAAACCATATGGCGTATCCATGATGATAGTTCTGTCTGTAGCATTTTTCAGTGCCTAGAAGTACTACTCCGTGGTAGTTGATTTTATTTAATCAATATGACCCGTTTCATTTCTTATTTAATTTTGAAATGTTTTACTCCACTCCAAGTTGCCCCCATCTTTCTTTCAAGTTGTCATAACGATTGCTGAAAGGTTAAAAGCTAGAATTTAAGGTTACGTTTTGGTGTGAAGTATTAAAAATAAAAGATTGAGATTGGGATTGTAATTAAAAAAATCTATTAGAGGTGTTTAGTATAAGAGATTGCTTGTTATATGGGATTAACCAAACCTATGTATGTGAGATTAGAGACTACCATGAGGGAAAGTGATATTTCCCAATTCCACATCTATGAATTTGCCTAATCCCATATAATAAGTAATTATTCATGCCAAATACTATTTTAATAATTTTTTCAATTGTAATTTCAATCTCAATATCTTATTTTTAATGCTTTGTATGAAATGGGGCTTAAATGTAACGTGGTAGCTTGGCTAAGAAACTCATCCAGGCAAGCGAACTGAGATTCTCAGAAATTAAGCCTTTAACTGCTGGGACGACGCATGCGAATTCAAAGTAACAAACAAGATACCCATAATTTTTTTTTAAAAAAAAAATCAAATAGGTGCCCATACTTGGTCTAACCCCAAAAGGGTAAAAGGAAAAATGGAAAAAGGCCACCGTGGGTGGGCTCCAACGTTGCAAACAAGATACCAGTATAACTGATGCACATTCATGGTATCAATTTCAATGCAGAAATCCAACGATAAACTATATCTGTTGTTTTCTGGAAAATATCCGAGGCGTCGCCTTTTTCTTTTTCAGGACAGCCACTGTCCTTAGTTTATCCAAAAAAAAAAAATACTCCTCCGATCCTTAATATAAAATTTAATTATTAAGTTAGTTTTGATCTTAAATATAAGACTCATTTCTTATATTTATTAATTTTCTCTAAATTACTTCTATATATACTTCTTCAACCATAATCAGGTAAAAAAGGGAGGGAAGATATCAAGAAAGATTATTATTGTGTTTTAGAAAAAATGTGTCACATTTCTTATAATTAACTATCTTACCTAACTTCCTTAATATAATAAAATTAGTTAAATGAATTTTATATTAAGAATTTTTTCTAATATAAATTTTAAATTATGAAATCTTTTTTTTTAGCACTGAAATTATGAAATCTTAACAGCTATATTTTCACAAATGAAAAATTGTGCTATTGACAAGTCACGAATAATATGTCTCAATCAATTCAAACTTTTGGCTGGAGCCTTAAAACTAAGTGTGAGGCCGTAGGTTATGACAAAAAGTTTTACCAAATGACGAAATCCACATTCTTTTAAATTTTTTTTTTTTGAAAAAAGCAAAGTAATTACAATAGGCAATACTGGGAAACTTTTTTTTTTGGCCAAAAAAACAATACTGGGAATTATCAATAATATGATTCTTTGTAAATTTATATCCAATACAAATTATATACTACTTCAATCCTTAATGTAGTATAAGAGCTAGTTTTATTTTTATTTTAATTTTAAATATAAGACTCTAATTTATTTTATTTATTATTTTTATCTATTTTTTTAATGTAGTTTTGTGACAATTATAGTTCTAACTAATACACTTGATTAGCAATAATAATTTAAGAAATACAATATATATTTATTACAAATAACTAATTTAATTATTTTTTAAATATATTTAAATTAATTAATTAAGTCTTATATTAAAAATCGAATCCAGTACTATTTTCTGTCGTGCCTCTCTCTTTTTTTTTTTAAAAAAAAAACTGTCTGATGTGTCCGTGGATGGAATGGGAGAAAATGGGCCTAAAGCTAGTCTCTTGGAGTCCGTTTGGAAGTTGGAACCAATTTTCCTTTTCGGCCTAAGGTATGGGTCATAAAACCCTAATTTATGTCTATAAATTGCCGCCAAGTAGCCAACACTCTACAGAACGAGAACCCGCGCTGCTCAAAAGGCGAATGCGCCTAGTTCTCCTCCTGAATCCTGATCCCCTCTATTGTTTTCTGCCCTTCACTTCTTGGCTCTTGCGTGTTAAGCATGTAGATTTAGTTTATTATGGCTAGGGTTTGTTCCGAAGCGGATGAGAAAAAACATGCTGAGTCTGTGATGAAGTTGAAACAGTGCCGGAGGCGGGTCTCCTGTGAGCTCGTCGCTGATGGCGCAAATATCCTCTAAGAAGTTCTGAGCTCAAGTCTTTTCTCATACTTACGCGTATGATGTACATTTATTGATCAATATAGGCGGTGCCAATATGTTTTCTTTTTCTCTTTTCTTTCCCTGATCTGACGGTTAAATATTGGGGGCAAAAATTTCGAAGCTCTTGGGGCTTGGATGCGAGAGGAAGATAGAAATTCATTAGTCTGTCAATCCACTGATATTTGTGTGATGTGAATATGAATCCCGACAGGTTCTGATCGCTTCCTCTGTCCCACCTTTCTATCCCCCAACCAAAAAAAAAAAACAAGAAAGATTTTACTTCTAATTTTAGATCTTCGGTCCAATTGGGTGTTAGATTTGAACCGTGATGATTAAATTTTACACCTTTTATTGGTTTCAATTTCTTTATGGCCTGTGGGCGTGTGATGAATCTCATCTTATAAATGGGTAATTTGCGTCTGAAATTTTCATTGATGCTTATCACCTTGGAGAGCTGATGCCCACGTCTTTACCACTTTTATACATTTTTCCTTTTCCTTTTTCTACCATGAATTTTCTTTTTCCTCAGTTCACTTGGGAGGTGAATTTGATTTTCTTCTTTTGTCATAATCAAAAGAGCGACAAGGGCAACATATGAGATTGTCAAATGATTTAAAGTATATATAACTGGGGCAAATATGAATCCATAATCATTCTGGATCATACCAGAATCCCATGGCCTATACTTGCGCATACAGCATAATATCTCAGGCATTAATAATAAAAATTAGATCTGAACATCAACTTCTCAGGTTAATAACTGTTGACAAACCTACAATGCCTCCTGATTTCTCCTTCATCTCCCGTGAGGACGTTGATATTTCCCATCTTGATCATGGACTTGGCAAACGAAGCAAAGAAAAGCTTTCGGTTTGAAGCATAAGCCCACACTTGTTCTCTAATCACTCCCTCATGGTCCTGGCTGATCAGAACATTATCAGAACCCAACAATCCGTTTCCTTCGAGGATGTTTACGTAGTAATGATTATCAAACTTGGTTGGGGTTTCATAATCCAGTGGTGCGACCTTGTGATCCCTTCCCGTGACAGGGCATATGGACCGCAGGATTCTTCTGAAGGTTGTATACCGCCTGTAACGATCATAGCCATAATGATATTCAGGCTTTGTTTCATAAATCCTCTGCCGGAAGCTTGTGCATCTTGCCCTTCCTATGGTATGGCTGCCTGTTAATAAATGGATCAGTTCAATGTAAAATAATGGGCTTCATCAAAATTTTGTTTATTTCTTCTTTCTGGGGCAATGAAATTATATCCATGTGTACGAATATGTAGATACCTGATAGGGCTACCAAGTCATGTACGTCCAGACCCTGCGCTTTGAAATTGTCTATGAGAGTTTCCAAAGAAGAATTTGGAGCAGGGATGAACTGGTTGGCTCCATTGAAGCTTGACTTGAGGGAATCCTTTCTTCCCAGGAACACTTCCCACGTTGGCCCTCCTCTCTTCTCAACAAGCAACAGTAATTATGTTACATAAAGATCAAGAAAGTCTAGATTTTTGGGTGAATTTTCACCCAGAAAAGATATGAAACAGAGGATTTTACCGATACAACAGCATCACGAGCAACCAAGGCGAGAATATCAGCACAAGAAACCGTATGAGGACATTCCTCTTCAAGCAAATACTTAATCTTGTCTATAACCTCAAATCCTCGTAATGAATTCAGATTCGGTCCTGCCTGTTTTTCACTTGTCATGCCCTCCACGCTGTCCAGGAGAACCGATGCATCACACCCCTGCTCTCCAACATTACACAAAATTCTCAGAAAGACAAAATCATGGTACACAAAAATTTATTACATCGTCCTGTTCCGTGTCATAATCCCCTTAAGCCACTAACGTGTTTGGAGGACTTAGTTACCATGACGAAGCAATCGTGGAAATGTAAGCGAAGTAGCGAGGCTGCCAAACGAGGGTCTTTATACACTGCAACCTCCACGTTGTGTCTCACAATATCTTCAGCCAAGGGGCACGTCTCCTTGTAGTAGCCATAAACAAGAGGGCCTTCACCGTTCGGAGTTTTTGTGCTGTACAAAATAGTAAACACCATTAATAGGAGTCTCATAAACTCCATTGAAGGAAATTGTGAGTTCTTGCACTCGGATTACTGAGAAGGAGAACGTCACAGAATTTTGTACTCAACATGCGTAAGCCAAGCCAAGTAAGATCTTATAACTGATAAGGAGGTTTTCTTGTTCCGTTTGGTAGTAGTGGTCTCATGTTTTCCCAACCAACCTCGTGTGCAGAATTTTCTCAGCTGTTATTTTTTTAAGGGTTGATACAACCAACTTGACTTAATTGTCTCCTTATATCCGTGTTAGATAATTTCTTTCTTTCCGATCAGCTTAGCTTTGGTAAATATATAAACAATCGCTACGATTTTTACACTTGGGAAGTTGGGTGGCTAGTGGCTACCTCACCTCTCGAATCTCCTTTCGAATCCAATGTGCAAATGTTACACGCTCTAAAGATTAATTTGACACATAAAGAAAAACTTCCCTCTTTTGATCTGATATAAACACATAGGTTTTTATTTATGATCTATGAAAACTTTGAACAGTTAATTTCAAAACAGAGAATCCAATATCGCAACTTCCTTTTTTTGGGTAAACTGAGTGCTCTTGTAACTATTTACATCACTTGTGACTGACCACACGTTATATCTGTGCTTAAATGTAAACAAACCCATGGACACACCTAGGAGGCCTAGAATTTAGAAGCGACAAGCGACATAATGAACGAAGCAAAAGGAAGGAATCAGCGAGGACCATCAGAAGCTGTTCATTGTGTAAATATGTCAGTTCATTTAGAATGTGTCTGATGTTACAGAAGGCAGACCACAGCCTGAAGTTTATGGTCAAAGGAGCAAAACAAGAATCATAGGGATACACAACTCATTAGATCAAAAACATAATCGTTGTCTACCAAAGAACAAAGAAACAAGGAAAAAGTTCAAATCGTCCTATGTATAACTATATACAGTTTTTTTTGTTATAACTATCTCAATGGCTTCTCTGTTTGTCAAATTCACAAAATGCTTGATATCCAAGGTAGGGAGAAACTCCCAAAAACAATGTTACTTTCAGGATGTTGACATCTCAGATCCAGTTCATGAACTCTCCTTCTTCATCAAGGAAGACTTCAGGATGTACTGCTGCACAGTTGACATTTAGAGCTCTTTGAAGCTTTCGATGGTCAAATACTTCAACTTCAATTGAGAAGATAGAACTAACTGGTCGATGATCTGATATCCTTATGTCTGCGCGATCATATGAAAGTTGCTTTATTCCTTTTCCCATCCACAATATTCGATCGCACCTGCATAATGTTAATGCAGAATTACTTACAACATGTTGCTTTGCCAATGGCATATTCACAGGATTGCAATTCAGTGTTGCACTTACCATGCAGGAGATCTCCTCTTTTCCCCTTCTTTTGGGTTCTCACCAATATATCTGTCTGAGTTAATTTCATACTTGTAAGTTGGAGGAAAGTTTATCAACCCTCTTTCCATCCATCAAATACATGCCTAAAACGCATTTCTTTGCTTAGCTGCAGATAAGGTAAAGGAATTAGAACTTTGTCCAGCTTAGCTTGTAGCATATAGAATAATAGGATAGGAGCAAGAACAGCAGAGGCCACTGACTAATTTAGTCACTCTGGTTAATAGAAAACCACTAATCATAACCAACTGATCTTTGTGGAGTACTCTATAAACTACCCCCTTCACCTTATTCACCTTGCCATCAGAGAACTGCTTATTGCACTCTAGACCATCCAAGTTCCAATTAATGAATATGGAAATGTTCATAAACATATGTAAGGTTCCAAAATTTCCAATCCCTTCCACAACTTTAGGCATACTCAGATTTATTAAGCAACGAAATATCAAAGCAAACTGCGAGTGGATGATGAAAACTAGGGGATCAAAATAAGGAAAGGTCAAAACCTAATCAGGTCGGCTTTTGAATATTTCACAAATTGAGTTTCATGACTCTCACCTGATCATTATTCATTAGTTCATCCCACTTCTTCAGAGCCACCAGTTTTCTTACATCACTGTCCAACATACTGATTCGATAATTCAAATCTCCAAACCAGAAAATCTGACTGTCATCGGAAAGCAACCCATCGGTTAATAACATTTGGATAGAAAATGCTCATTCTGAACATAAAGCCATTAGAATACTTAAGCATGATTTATTTTTAATACTAAACAATATTAATTTAATGACACATACAAACTTGAAATTTCACAATTTTCAAACAATTTTGCTTTTAACAGCAGTTAATGTTCTGATCACGTTCCAAATTCTAAATCATAATTTTCATCATAAAATAATTCTTACTCATGCGATGGGATTGTCTGTGGTTGATCAGTATCAATGAGAGATGAGAAGCAGGTGCGGCGTAGAATTTCATTAACATCAGAGTTTCGTCTATATTCAGCTCCATCCTTCTGACCAGAAGTGAGGTGAGAGCAAACAAAGCACAGCCGCGAGTGAAAGAGAGACATGCTTACTGAAACAGACCCCTGCATAAGCGATAATTTGTTATTATATTCACTTAGAGCAGTATAAGCAAGTGTTATCAGTAAGTGGCCACAGATGGTAAGTTATCTCATCCTTTCCATGCTATGATGCTCCTAGCTTGCCAGGGAACATTTTAAGAACACATCAAGATATGGAGGGGACTTTTGTCAATCTATTGCACTGATGATCATATTCATAACATACCTAATATAGATATCATCAATGCATGTGCCACACGCCACCCTACACGAAGTTTTATGGCAGCTTTGTTGACATAGATTTCAACATCTTGACACGCATTCAATATTTATATTTCTAAGCCAGACCAATCTCATTTATGTTAAACACAATTACCTTGTTTCCCATGTAGCCCATCAGACCAACTCCAACGGGAGAAACTCTCAAATTATTGATGTGCCTTCTCAACTTCCTCTGAACCCAAACTGATACATAAATCCCTACCATCTGCTTGCTGACAATCCGGACATATCTCGGACGTGATTTCACAGTGCCTAATCCATCATCATCCTGGTTCTTTGGTAACTCAAAGATAGTGTTATCTTCCTCATCAGATATGTCGGACACATCGGAGTGGGAATCAATTATTTCCCTTGGCACCACTTTCTCCTCCTTCCAGATCATGCCTAGGTTCCCATAACTGTGGTGAGAACGCTTCATCCTATTGCCATATTTTAAAGTATTTTCCGTCCAATTAAAGCCAATTCTAGCTGTGCTGCTCAGTACTCTCCGCAATTTTGAATTGGAATCAACAGCTTGAGGGAATGCATCTAACGGACGTTCGGGCCAGTCAAGACTAGTATGAAGATCAATGCCATATATTCTACTCAAGTGTAAATTTTTTCCTATATCAATCGCCTTTTTCACTTCCTGATATCCCAAATCATTCTTTTTTATGGTTTCTACGAACTCCTCACCCATCATATCTAATGGATTAGCATCTATATTGTCTGCTAGAACATCAGCCGCTGAGGAAGTCCTTAATACTGGAGAAGGAGGGGCACTGTAGCTTTTGATTTTGCTTTCAGTTTGAGAAGATTTGTTCAGAGTTCTTCGAATGATTGCCTCCCATTTTGGGATAGGTGTATTATCCTCTGCTCCAAACACATTGCCAGCATTCAAAGGGACTACCTCTTGAAAACTGTGAAAAAAGAGTTAGCATGGAAGCCAGTAATATAGACATTCTATGAAAGACCAATATTACAACCAATTCAGCCAAGCAGTCTATTAATAGCACCTTACAACCTATGTCTTATGTCTATGCACAAAACAATTCACTCAAATAGACTAGATTTCATGTTATCTGCTAACAACTTTGCAAATAGATACAAATGTGTGGTCAGTCTGGACTAGTCAGCTCTGTTCAAACAGGTAGTTCGGATTGAGTTCTTCTCAAAATCAAAAGCCATTGGTGAGACAAAATCCACACAAAGTGTTGAATTTCCTCCTTACATGGTTCAACAAAGTTTTGTGTTGGCTATCAAAGGCCAAGCACAACCCTCCTCTTTTATCCGGGCTTGGGACCGGCTATAAAACATAGGCAGAGTTATGGTTGGACATCTCGTGTTACATGAAAACATATAAACATAAAGCAACTACTCCAGAAGCATAAGAGGAAATGTAAGCAGAACAAATTAAGATGTTGATAGTACACGCAGGACAAGTATCATTAATAAGCCTTACAAATAATTAACTCATGAGTACTCAGATACATAAGGAGGAGGATTCTATCCGGGTATAGAAGGGTTAGGCGAAGAGAGATAGAGGGAAAGGTACAAAACCTCTCGCTTTCTTTATCCAACTGGACTCTAGGTCCAACTAGAGAGAACCCAAGTCCAATCCAGCTTACCATCGCACTCCAAAATTTTATTGCACAAGCCAATTGTAATGAATACCAGAACACTCTTAAAAGTATATGGCTTAATTATGGTTTTAGAAGATCAGATAAATTCATATGAACCATGAGAATGTAAATTAAGCATCCAGGGTATTATGACCACGTCCAATATAGGCAAATAGGTAAAAGATGGCAGCTCTTCGAATATGGGAGCTTTCTTTAATTACCAGCAAAAAGTATTAACTTTTGATTATTCAGGGAAAAATCATATAAATGGCTAAAGAGAAGATCAATCAGAGAGAATGAATTGTTTTGCTGTCGTACACTAGATAAACTTGTTTCTGGGAAACAAAACTCTTGTAAAATATAAAATTTAAGGAGTCAATCGATTTGCGAAACTACTCACCCAATAATGTATATATCTGCAGGCTCATCAGTACAAAGCCAGTCATCGATCTCAATATCCTCACAGGGAACTCTTCCAGCAACATTCCAAGTTCCAACAGTTACCCTGTACCATAACAGTTTGAAGATGCATTACTTTAATATTTTTAAATTAACAACTCTAGTTTGACACATCAACGTAATCAGAGTACACCAGCAAACCTTATTTCCTTCGTATCAATATACTGAGCGCGCAGAGTTTCTGATTTTCCCCTTCTGTGTCTTGTCTTGTAACCCATGGGAGGTGTATCTGAAGAACAAACATCAAATTACAGAAGATGGTAAGACAACGAACTCGTCATGTGTCAGAACTTACAGGCATCAAATAATTTGAAGTTCACAGCAAAACTAATCAAGCTGGTTGACTTAAATATTTATCTGGCAAACACACCTATTTGTTAGCGGAATATATTGAAAATTGCTCTATATTTGTACTAAGAAACTCCTGCCACCCTTATCAAACAACTCCTAAAATTTCTTTTAAA